AAGTGGGGAAGAGAAGGGAGGCTGTTTCCTCACCCTGCATCACAGAAACAGGTTCTAAGCTGGTACTGGCTCCAGTGCTTTCTTTCTTTTAATTCTGAAAACCCATGCATTTACACAAGTCTGTTTTGAATCTGACACTTCTGTTTTCCAGAGGAAAATAATTTCCTAGTTCACACTGGCAGCTGGCAGTGTTTTTTTTACTGGTGGCAATTCTTAAAAGCCAAGATTTCCGTTACTCTTCAATGTAGTAGGAGGATGCAGGGAAGCACACCATGATACAAAGATCACAGCTTAGGAAAGGGCCTTGTTTCTCTGTCACATACAACAGGATTCCCTGTTAGACCTGATATCACAAAACACTGGGAAATGTTAAAAGATTAGGGGTCTTGCTTCCCTCTGGCAGTTTGCAACAAGTCCCCTTGAATACCTGAGGTGGGAAGGGACCTCTGCAGGTCTCTGCTCCAATCTCCTTTCAGTCAACAACTCAGTAGCTCTAAGGATGAAGATCCAACTGCTTCTACAGGTCCTTATCACAACGCTTGACTGCCATCCTGTGTCCCCCTGAATATCCTCACGGCCCCTGCTGGAGTCACTCCAGGGTGTCCATGCCCTTCTTGCACTGGAAAGTCCTAAACTGGTCCCAGTCTCCAGCTACAGCCTCACAAGCACCAAATACATGGGTACTTCCTTACCAACACTGGACAGCCTGCCTTCCTTCACCTCCTCACACTACACAAACACTTGTGCTCAGCTGGAAGCTCTCTGGGGGAACAGGATGGCAGCAGCTGTCATGCAAATCTCAGCAACACCACGAATCCAGAGCAGCCAAACATGGATGTGCAAGAGGCAAGCGATGCCTGGGGCAACACCTGGGTCACTGGTGACAACAATTGATAAGAGCATCGATAGAGAAAACATCATGGAAAACTACTCTGGTTTGAAATGACCCGGGGGTTCCCCAAAGCATGGAAGTTATTTCCACCTTCACCTTCTCTTTTAAAAAAAAATTATTTAGACCCTGAAAATTATTCAGAGTGTTAGTTATCCTCCTCAGTGTTTGCCTGGGAAAAAAGGCATGGAACAAACATTACCTTAAAGACTAGGCAGCTGCGAGATCACAGTGAGTGAATATTTCAATCCCTAAGTCAAGGCCCTGTCCTAGGTCACTATTTTATTCACAAAGCTTTAAATACAAGAAAGCTGCAAACCATCTTCCAGAAAAGATACAAAACTTCAGGCACTTCAATGTGTAGCCAGCACTGCCAGGCACTAATTTACTGAAAGAAATTAGTAAAAAATGTCCATTTTCCTTTCATTTCCTGTTTATCAGTTTTTCTTGGTTCCTTGAGGAATTGGGGTCCAGAAGGAGATCCTACTACTCTAAGTGGGCTCTACCCTACAGTGGGCAGTCCACTCTGCCACTAGTGATGGAGGAATGGAGCTGGTGAAAGGAGGAGGACAGATGCAGTAGAAACCTGCTTTGAAACCACTGCTGTTGGCAACTGACCAACTGGGAGGCACATCCTTGTTGTTTTCCTAAGCATTTCCTCCATGGAGCAGTGGGCTGCAATGTCGAGTCTGGTCGTAAGCAAACAGGGACCACAAGGTGGGAAGGGGCACGAGTCCCCAAGAATTAGGGTATCAAGAGAGAACAACAGAAGTCCCTGCAGCTGGAGAGAAGCAGCGATGCATGCTGAGAGTCCCTTCTACCCCTCTCCCGCATGAAATGATCTAGCTTAGCCCTGGAGTAACACGAATTCCAACACTTCCCTGAATTAATATCTTCTGCCACTTAATAGAGGTTTTAGGAAAACCAAACCAAGCCAGCTTTGATGCAACAGTTGCTCAGGATGACAGCTTTACGAAGACGTACCAGAGCAGATACAGCTTTTTGGAAGATGTACCAAAATAACCATGTTATTTTTGGTGTGAATCTACTGACTTCAGGCAACCAGCTCCTGCTTTAAGAGGATGGGCTAAAGAAGTCAGTGTCAAAGCATGGTCCCACTCCATGGGTCATACATGTGTCCTGGCTCTGAGAAGTTGTTTGAATTTTCAGGCATCCTGTGGCAACACATGCTGAAGGGCTCACTGAAGCCCTTCCATCACCCCAGGGCTCTTTTTGAGGATGGAAGGCATTAGTAAGAGATGGCCCAGAGCTCACCATGGCTGGACATACTGTGCAGGCCCACTCACATTGAAGAGATGTGCTTGTTCTGCAGTGAAGCTGGATGCTCACAGGCCCTGACTGCTGGTCACAATAAAGCACAGGTCTGCTTGCCATGCCTGGCTACAGCATGCACGAGAATCCTCACTGGTTAAGCCTCTCCCAGTGTTGCCCTGCCTGCTGCAGACACCCTGACGCAGGGGGTGACCAGATGGCACTGCCATGTGATAGGGACTTTCCACTTCCATGTGGAGACAAGGGAAGAGCTGCTGGAGCTGGTGACTTGCAAATCTGAAAGAGCAGTCAGTGCTGGGTCTCAGCTGCAAAAAGGGGGTTGCTAAGGTCCTATCCTGGAGCTGCTAGGATCAGCCAGGGAGCTTCTCCTCCTGGTGATGCCTCTGCAGCCAGAAGCAGTGCTGCAAGATCTCCCCAGGAAGGAAGAAACCAGGGCCAAGGCTAGGGAGGGAGGCCAAAAGGGTCTTGCCAGCAGCTGAAAGCAGACACAGGGGGACTGCAGGAGGGAAATACACTGCTCTGCTGGGATTTGCAGCATCTTCAGCCCAAACCTCTGCTCTGACAGGCCTACTGGCAGGTGCCAGCACAGCAGCTGTCCCCTGCCAGCCCTACAGCTCCTGCTGGCTCACCCCAAGCCATGGGCAATGACAGTGCATCTCTGATCCCCACCACCCCCTGAAATGCTGCCAGCACCTGGCTGGGCACTCCCTGCCTGCTCCTGGGCTCTTCCCTATCCAACGGGACAGGGGGCCAGGTGCCTGTGATCAGCCCCACCTGCCACAGGACAGGCTGCGGTGCCCGGCAGGGATCCCACAGGTTCCTGGGATCCCACACGTTGGCAGTGTAAGAAAGGGGTCAGGCAGCAGGTAAAAAGGTGGGACTGGGGGTAGCCAGGCCCCACGCACACACACACACACACACACACACACGCACACGCACACACGCACACACACACACGCACACGCACATACGCACACACACACACACACACACACACACAGCCTCCAAAACGACCCTGCTCCAAGCAGGGACTAAACATGCCCATCATCCCCACCGAGCAGAGGCACATCCCCACCAGCCTCAGCTCCGGGACAAGGACTTGAGCGTCCCTGGCTCAGACCTGTTCCTCCCACCGGTCTGAAACGCTGCAAACGGTCCCACAAGACACAAACTGGGGACTGGAAGGTCCCTGTCCCGCTCCAAGCAGGAGGATGCCGCTGCCACCGCCGCTCTGCGCGACTCAAATCCCCCCGCAATGGTGACAACGGCCCCAGCCGTGGGAACACGCGCGG